ATTTTTTAATTTATGTATGTGCATTGTTTTTAGACATAATGCTACTGCACACTTAATAGACTAAAGTACAATGTAAATAAAACTTTTTTGTGTTCTGGGAAACCAAAAAATTCATTTGACTTGCATTATTGCAGTATTCACTTTATTGTGGTACTCTAAAACCTGCAGTATCTCCAAGGCATGCCTGTAATGGACCTAGACACAACTGCTAACGTCACAAAAAAGACAACTAGATATTGTGTGTTTCCTGATGGAAAAAAACAACACAACCCATACTCTTGCCACAGGTGTGAAACCCAATTGAGCCTTTGGAACCAGCAGATAATTTCCAGAAAATGCAGACCATATTATGCTACACTGAGTGCAGTCTAGACTATGGGTGATTCCACAGGTTAAAATGTTTTGGTTCCTGTATAGATAAATGGCAAGGAAAAGAAAGGGGTGAAAGGAGAAACTGAATCAAAAAGTCTTAAGTATTTAACAAACTAAAAAACTTGCACAAGAAAATGAATGCTATAAAAGTGTGGAAAATGGTTACTGCTAGAGGAAGAGTGTGATTAAGAAGAGGCACACAGAAGGGTTTCTAAAGTAGCTGGTAAATATTTATTTTTTGACCTGGGTAGCATTACAAGGTTATTTGTTTGACAACATTTGTTTAATAAAATTCGTTAAACCATATATTTGTTTTGTGTTTTTTTGGTCTATGTTTTACTTTACAGTAATAAGAATAATAAAAATGACCTGGGAGATCTGAAAATGACAGGTGGGAAAAAAACCTGAAATTAAAATTAGGAACAGCTAGAATGAAAAGGTTCATGAAGCTAGTGATCCGTTTTACTTGTGCACTAATATATCGAGAACAGTGTCCAGGCCACAGGAGGAGCTTAATAAATATTTATTAAATGAAAATGAAAGCTGAAGTTATTTTATAGCATTAGCACTGCAAAGTTCAATGATACTAAAGTGTTGATAAAGATATGCAGTGATGACACTCTTGTACTCTGCTAGTGGGAATGCAAGCTGGTACAACTACTTTGGAAAAAAAAAAAGACACTGCCTTGTATAGTTAAGTGTGCATACACTCTGACACAAATTCACATCTATGCACATATTTTTCAAATGCATCAGTGTCTTTCACCATTTTAGGATATTAATTTAATGAATCTAAGGGGCAATGTTTTCAACTGCTTTTTTTAGCATAAAAGATCAAAGTACATATCACCTAACACAAATAAATATTATTTCAGAAAACTTTTGTTTCAGCTCTGTGTACTGAGTTGCAATGTAAAATATTTTATCTTATTGTGGGTCACAGTCAAAAAAAATTCTGAAAACCACTTCTAGAAAAACTGCACATAGGCAGCAAAACACTTAGAATAATAACAGCAACATTCTATGTAATAGCAAAAAATCAGGGAACGTATCTCATGTCGACCCTTGAAAGAATGATAAATTAATTCTGGTATATTCATGCAATGAAATGCTAGACAGCAGAGAAAAATCAATGAACTAGAACTATACACATCACCATGTATACATCAGAGAAATACTCAAGTGAAAATAGGCAACCACAAAAGAATACATATAGTCTGATAATGTGTTTTCTGAAGATGAAAAACAAGCAAGATTATACAACATGTTGTTTAGGGATACAAATATGCCTGTAAATCAATCAAGGAATTACAAGAAGAGTCAAAAAAAAATTTTTTTTTAATCAACTGAAAAAGAAGAAAAGAAAAAAAACCCCAATTCTCAGATAATGGTCATGCCTTAAGTGAGGGAAGAGAGAAGGACATGTAAAATGATTCTACAGTTTTGTTCTCTTCTACTTCTTAGCTTAGGTGGCAAATTCACCATTGTTTATTAGAATACTTCTTCATAAACATTAATCATAAGAACTTGCCCTTTTTGTAGGCTAAAAATGGCTGAACAACAATTTCATGATTCAAACTAATATTTAACACATTCTTTGAAGAAAACACTTATTCACAGGATATTTTGACTGTAGTTACTTTATTCAGGGGTTTATAATAATACAGAGGTGTTATGAAAACCTAGTATTTGCAGCCAAAACTATGATTAAGCTTTAAAGATAGCCAATTTTTTTTATCATGGAAAACTTAAAATGTATACTAAACTACACAGAAAATAATGATGAAGTCCCAGTACACATCAACCAGCCTTAACAATCAATTATGGCCAAGTCTTTTCACTCGCACCCTCACCCTGACTTCAAATGCCCGTGAAGCAAATCAAAGACCATACATAATTGCATTTGTAAGTATTTTTAAAAGATAAGGAGTCTTTCTTTAATAAACATAACCCAGTATCATTATCATTCCTAAGAACAATAATTCTCAATTATAAAAAATTTCCAATTATCACATCAAATTTCCAATTATCTAAAGATAACTTTTAAAAGAAACTTAGACAACTGTTCCTCCAATAAAAAAGAATCAGGACACCACTGGCCAGAAGGTATGACTAGAGGTTGTCAGAGACGTATCTAATACAGAGTGGTATTACAATTATGATAGTTAAATCACATGAGATCATACAAATATTAAAAACTTTTTCAAAGTAATTTTATGATATAGGAACATTTCATGGTATGTTAATACAACAGAGCTATAAATGATATGTACAACATGATTTCTATTAAAGTAACAAAAAATAAGAATAGAAAGACATATGTTAAAATGTTAACAATAAGTCACCTCTGGGTGGTTTTTTCCTCCCAGCTTTTCATACATTTCTACATTTTTTTTCAATTTTCCTGCAACACATGTTATTATTTTGATAACCAATAAAAAGTAGTTTGCAAAGGGATGGGGGGAGTTCCACTTCTCGTAAGGTGGAATAGTTGGTAGCTCTCTTCCAGAGAAGCTGTTTAAAAGCTAAGAGAAGAACCAAAATAAAGCAGAAACTGGAGGTATGACCCTTGGAAGAAGTAAGATGCACTGGGTAAGATTTATATTGATAAAGTTTGTCATCTGAGGACATTCCCCAGTTAACACAATGTGGCCCAGCTAAAACTCAAACAAAAGGCCACTGTCTTTCTTTTTTACACTGAAATTACAAAATATTATTATTATTATTTTTAATTAAAGTATCATTAAATATAAAATCTTGTGAAGGTTTCACATGAACAACACTGTGGTTTCAACGTTCACCTGTATTATCAAGTCCTCACTCCCTCCATTGCAATCTCTGTCTATCAAGCATAGTAAGATGCTACAAAGTCATTACTTGTCTTTTCCATGTGGTACTCAAAAGGCCACTGTCTTAATGGCTTCAAAAGTCAGAGGACAAGTGGCTAGAGAGTGATGGGTGAAATTCTGGAAAGGAGGGAAAGACAAAAGGGTGATGCCCAAAATCTATATAAAAATTCCATCCAAATCTCTTGCTGACCTGGGAACCGTACACGTGCAGGGAAAACTCCTAAGAAGCCCAAATGAAAACAAAACATGGAAAGAAATTATGTTTTCTCCAAAGAAAGAAAGAACTTGGATTTTGAGGCTAGCCAGGTCTACTGCCTACTAAAATAAAAATCAACATTTGCAAAGAAGACAACAGAACCCAGAGTCTTGATAACATATCATCCATAATGATGACTATACACTGAAAAATTACCAGACATGCAAAAAAAACAGAAAAGGTTGACTGAGGGTTAAGAGAAAAAGCATAAATAGAATCATACCCCAAGAAAACCCTTTTGTTTGCATTAGTGACAACTAAATGTTATGCAAGATCCAAAATGGTATCTTGGAACAAACAAAAAGGCTATTAGTGGAAAAACTGGAGGAATTTGAATAGGTCCTTAGTTTAGTTAATGGTATTGTATCAATGTAAATTCCCTACCTCTAATAACCATATACTGTACTTATGTAAGATGCTAACACTGGGTGCAGCTAGGGATATATGGAAGCTCTCTGAATTTTATCTTTTCTAAGTCTAAGTTGAAAGGCAGAGATTGTCAGACTGGATAAAAAAAGGGAAGACCCAACCATATGCTGTCTATGTTTGAGACTCATTTAAAAGTAAAAATGTAGATAGGTTCCCACTAAAATGACTTTTCCTAACTTCTTTTGTAATTTGCTACTTCAGATCTCCTATGACCCTATTAGGAGGAAAAAACAGTAATACAGTGACTAATGGAGCTTTAAGATCGACTGTGATCTGGAATAAGGATAAAAGCTTTTGGTACACTGGGACATACTATGACATATTTGACAAGTTCTTGGCTGAGTGCTTAAGATCTAAAGTTCAAGTTCTGAGTATTGTAATATGAGGTTTTTATACAGCAAAGAAAAAACTTCGTGTCACTGTGATAAAATTCTGACCACCTCACAAAAATTTTGAAAACTGCTACATAGCTTAAACAGAACTCAGTAATAAGATGTTTGTACTATGCTTCTATTAATGGTTTAAAATAATTTTTTTAAACTGTAACCAACTTCTCTTTTTGGGATTACTGTGAACTAAATAGCCTGAGAAACTATTTGCTATATACCCTGGAAATGCTGGGTTAAAGACAACAAATTCTTTAAAAAAACGAAAAAAAATAAGTATGGCTGACTTGAAAGGAAAATAAAAGATTTCTTGAGAGGACAAAAACAAAGAAGGAAATAAAGGCAAAGCAGTGGTTAAGAGGGTGCTATTGCTGCCCTTGGAGGATTTCCTCTCAATGACACAGGGGCTTGGGACTTAACACTCCTTCAAAGACTTAATACAAGGCCTCATACCTTCTACACTTCCTACTCCACTTACAGCCAAGGGATCTTCAAAGGACTATGATCTTAGAGAAAAGGTAGACTAAAACAATTCACCAGCTGGAAGAGGAAGACAATACAAAAGGAGAAAAAGACGTTTTTCATGAGAATTTGTATCTGCCCTTAACTGGACTTAGATTTAAAATTTTCAGCACAGAGAAAAGATGTTCCCCAATCAAAACATGTAACATAAAAACAGAGTCCTAAGCCTGTGATAGCCCTTGGTACCAGCAAAAGCAAACCAAAAGCCTTTCAGAAGGGGTATTCCCTCAACCTAGGCAATAGCAAAGTCCCACAGTTATAGTTTAAATGGTCATGAGCTCTCAATCCAAAATTACAAAATGCAGAAGAAAACAAACCATTGTGGAGCAAGCATCAGCAGAAATAACACAGAATCAGTACCCAAAGGACCCTGGACAATAACAATAAAATAGTGAAAACAATTTAAGAAATTAAGTAATAAGAAAAAAGTAGCACTAGCATAGAAGCACACAGATTTAAAAAACATCTGAAGAAAATTACTGAACACAAAATACAGATCTTTCAGAGAAAATCATGCAGAATGGAACACAAAGGTATTAGATGTAATATGAAAGGTTAAGGTAAGATACAAGCAGGAAAGAATGTTAAGTTCTAACAAATATCCAATAGGAATTACAGAAGGAAAAAATAAACGTCATGCAAAGAGACAGTATTTGAAGAGATACTGGCTGAAAACGTTCCAGAATTGATGTAAAGAGTTAAATATTTCATAATGAAAAATTATCTATTGAGGTACTGAATTGCAGGAAGTATCAAAATTTTATAAGCAACTTACATGATTAAATCTTCTTGTGAAGGCAACTGCATTTGGTGCAGAACTATATTTTTCTTTTTTATTCCATCCACAACTTGAAAGCTCCTGAAAAATTAAGTTGAAAATTAAATAGAAATTCATGAAATAGCCCAGTTTTCACATTATAGTAAGGGTTTTAATATGTTAGAGGAAGTTGTGCCCTTTCCTATAACTGTTTTATTTAATAGGAGCATATCTAATATCACAACCATTCAGATAAGTAACCAAAATGATTTTTATTAGTAGAATATAAGAAGGCAAGATAACTTGTCTATGAACCATAGATAACTATATTTCATGGCAGATTGGGGGGTTCTTCTCTGAAGAGATTTGAATCACAAGAGCAAAGTGGTGGGGCTTGTGAATCACACAACGTAAGTTGAGTGTCCAACAACATAGAGTGAAGTCTACTAGTTGTCAAGCCCCATTTAGTGACCTGGAGCTTCCAAATGGCTTTCCAGCACCTCACTCTTTTAAGTTGATAATCAACAACCCCAGGTGTCTGAGAAACCTCTCACAGAAGGGTTCTTGATTCCCCACAAGGTCTATCAATAGAATCCAAAGGGTCCAAGAACTTGGATGTAAAAAAAATTTAAATATATTTTACACTAACCTCTGACTGAAATGACATTTCTTTTCATTACAAATGTGGGCTACAACTTACAGAAGAATTGGCATATACATGTGATTTTGTTACTAATAAAAATGAGATTATTTTCTGTCACATTACAGTTGGTACAGATACCACAAAAATATCATTTACACTGATTACTACTTTGAAATTATGATCTCATCACCTCTAGACCTTAACATCATAACCAGAAGCACATATGTTGTTATATAACAGTTTAAAATATTTTGATTAAGTGTATTCTACTGGAACTGATTTCCTTTGATTTTAAAGAAACATTCAGTTCCACAGGCTTCAGTCTACAACAGGGTTTAAGGTTCAAAACAAGCTAAAAAGCCTGCTGTAATATAACTACCATGACCAGAAAAAGACAGAATCTATAGGAAAGAAGAAAGGAACTCTGAGGAAACTGAGTTAGGTCAGTGAACAAGAGCAAACTGAGAACAGGAAAAGACAAAACTGTATGGTTATTACTCTCAGAGAGATGAGAACAGATACTGCTCCCACTAGGCAAGAACAGGAGGATATAGGAAAGAAACATTCAGAGAACAAAACAGAGCTTTTGGCAATGAAAAATATAATAAGAAAAAACTTAAAAATCAGGAGAAAAGGTGTGAGACAAAGGTAATAAAATCTTTTAAATAAGCTAAAAATAGGAGCAAAATTAGAATGTTAATTAGAAGAGTCCCTAGGAGTTTACATCTAAATAATAATGGAAATTTTGAGAACAGAAAAAAACAGAGTAAATAAACTAATCAAAAAAATTCCTCCTGCCCCCCAAGAAAATGCCTCCAGAACTTAAAGTCTAGTGCCCATTACAGTGTATTAAAAAAAAGGAAAGAAAGACTCAAACCAAAACCTAGCATCAAAACATTGCAGCACACAATGGAGACAAAGAGATCATAAAATCTGTATGATTCAAAAACAAAATAACAAAACAAAAAGTAGATCACACAGAAAAACAGGGATCATAAGGTATAAGATAGCAACCCTGGAAGTTAAAAAGACAACTGAAACAATGCCTTCAAAATCCTAGAATTCTATATCCAACAAAAATACCAATTACATATGAAAGTATACTATAGATATTTCAGAAATAAAAGTCTCAGAGAACTTGCCTTCTATGCACCTCTTCTTAGAGAGCTAGTGGAATATGTGTTCCATCAAAACAAACTAGCAAATTAACGGAAAAGAGGACATGGGATCCAGGAAACTGAGGCACCACCATACAAAGAAAAATACTGGGAATTCCCAGATTAACAGTAAAGGAATCTTTACTTGAGATCCCGGGACAAGGCTGCAAGCAGACCTTAAGAAGAACAGTCCAGACAGTAGGTAGCCAGAGGACAGAGATTCCAAGAGAGATGTCTCTGAAAGATGAAGCAGAGTGTTTGAAGTGTTTGAACACATTCTGACGTGAGAAGACACATTCAACTACATTCACTTGCAGCAGAAAAATTACAGACAATATAGACAACGCTAAAGGAAGTCGTTAGCTCAAGGAAAATAAAATCGAATTCTGGCTCAACTGTAAGGAATGGTGACATGATAGACATGATTACTTATTCATGTCGAAATTGTGATATATCTATATGGGGGGGAAAGGAGGAAATGTGTAAATGTGAGGGGAAGAGAATATAAAAGTGAAATCATCTTCTATAGGAGAGTGTCAATAAATAATATCCAAAATTGAAAAACCATCAACATGCATTTAGATACATTATTTCAAAAACAGATATAAATTTCTCCAAGGAGGAATACAACTGAGAGACTTGGACAGCTGTGGGCACAAGGAAGGAGGCTAGCAAGGAGGAGCAAGTGGGTTAGGATATTGCTCTACTTTGTTCTCTTATGGAAATATTTGATTTTTTAAAAATGATATGTGCATATATTCAATAAAATGTTAATAAAATAGAAACAAAAAGGAACAGACTGAGTTAGGGGAAGACTGAGGAAAGAGCTTTTATGATGATACCGCAAGACTGTAAGAAAAAGGTAATGTTCCCTTGACTAGGGTGGGTATTGGAAAAACTGGTAGGTTCAAGGCATTCTGGAGGCAGGCAGGACTTTGTCAAAAACTAGATTCACACAGTGTAAACTAAGAATGAGGTATCCAGAAGTACTAAGATTCCCAACTTCTGGTTTGAGTAACTGAAATGGGAAATACTGAGAGATGAGACAACAATGATCATTTCAACACAGTAAATAAGCAGTAAATGCTCTGGTGATATGAATTACTAACTTTTATTAAACCTAAAATTAGATTACAACTTTCAAATTCAAAATTACTGAAAGAAAAAATAAACCAACAGAATCAACTCTACAGTAAAAAAAAAATGCTTGGTTCTCAACCTAGACATATGCTCATTTCACATTATCTCCCTGTACAGACAGAAAATATTTAGTGGTAGATACATTAACATAAAAATGACATTATATGATAACTATATTAAAAACATCAAATGCTAGAAAACATTTCTGTCCTTTCTAAAAATCATAGCATATTTATACAACTATAGAATGCCAATTTTGGGACAAAATTCCTATGATTAAACCCATAAGTATTCAATTTGCTTTAAACCAATTAATATAATTTCCAAATTGATTAATGCTGATTAAAGTGTCTCTTTCAAATTGCTGTTAAACTTATCAAACCACTCAATGTAGCCATCTGACATAGAGTTCAAACTCAATTATTTTCAGCTTTCTACAGAAGGTGGATTTCATTTTCCTGTTTTAAGTAGGGCTACACTATAAATAACCTTGTATCTTTTCTGACATTTTTCTGATCATTTGCTAAAATACAGTCCTAGAAGTAAAATTACTAGGTTAAAGAATATGAATTCTGTCAAGGTTTTGATATTTGTCAAACTGCCCTCCTAAAATACTGAATCATTTACACCACCTTCCTGAGTGCCAATCTCACACAGCAGTCTTATCAAAACTGGTAATTATGTTTGTTGAATAGAGAGAAAATGGGGACATATATCACCTATAAATGCACCACCAGAAGAAAACCTATGGAAACATCTTCCCTATCTTCTTCACATGCACATGGGGCCTGGTTTTTGTTTAAAGTTGCCACCTATCCTTTCAGTGTGATTTAATCTACTGTTTTTGTGTTTAAAAAGTCCTTGACAACAGATGTCTTAACCACAGCTAAAGAATTAGTTAACACTAATGAAGAGATCAATAGGTACGAAGGACAACTCTAAGTGCTGTATACATATTTCTTTCATTTTCATATTTGGTCTTATCTTCTTCATTATGATGTATTATGACAAATAAGAAACCCAGACAAAAGTATCAGTGAATTATGGTTTTTTATTACATCAAAAAAAATTTTTTTTAATGCTTTTCTGACTCCTCAAATAAGAAATGCTAAGTTTTTGAAAAATCCATCCAATTCTTGGAACATTTCAATATCATTCACTTAATGGAAAATTGTTCTGTCCTTTTAAGGAAACTATTGGAAGTAGACTGAAAAGACGAGTGGATGAAGAAGGCTCTTGTAGTCACACTACTCAGGAGCAAATGGCTTAAAATTCCATTGGAGCCCTCCCTTCTAAAGAAATTTATAATTCAAACAAGAACAAGAAGTAGGTTTTCTAAAACCTCTTAAGGGGGCAGTTTCTGCTTCATAAATCATTTCCTCTTTGAGACAATGTTACATTACTAGCCCATCTTGTAACTGACAAACAGAACTATAATGATAGAGAACAGACTACTGGTTGCCAGGAGCTGGTGAGAGGTGGGGGCAGGAGGAAGTGCGACTATCAAGGGACAGATCTTTGTGGTGATGGAGTAGCTGGCTCTGTATCTTGACAGATGTGGTGCGTAGACACATGTACACACAACAGAGTGTCAGAGAATTACACAGACATGTACTGCACAAATGTCCATGCCTTGGTTTGGCTGTCGCACTATACTTATGCAAGATGTAATTGCCAGGGAAAACTGCGTGAGGGTAGATGGGACTTCTCTGAACTCTTTCTGCAACTTCCTCTGAATCTGTAATTATCCCTGTACTATTTCTTTTGCAACTTCCTGTGAATCTGTAATTACCTCAAAATAAAAAGTTAAAAAGCAACAGTAAGCTGAAATCACACTGGGAATCCAGGAACTCATTCACTACTGTTCTTCCTAAACCCTGACATGCACTTAGGGTTAGCTGGCCTTAAACAAATTTTGTCCTGCCCCACTTTTACCTCGCAGCAGCCACTAAACTTGTCTGTGAGATAGAAAGTGCTATCCCCTTTGTTTCTCTCTCTTTTTTGGCTCAGATTCTAAGGTCTTCCTCCAAGTGACACTAGAATACAATCTAAGAAGTAAATCCTCCCCCTACCAGCACATCCTGCATTTGACAGCTTATCAACCTGGTCAATTATTCTATACCAAAACAGCTCCCATGAACACCAGAAAGTTGAAGCAAACT